CACCAATATCATAATGAGAGGCAAGAGTTTAGTTTTCGGTGCAACACTAGTATTAACTACTCATGGGAAGCACAAGCAGCCCACAGCTTTTTTGTTGTTGTTTTTTTTTATAAATATTTTGGACAGACATTTTTTTTCAATCGTCAGGCATTTGTAATAAACGTTGCTTTAAACAGATACCTGGCTAGGTATTTTCAGAAAAAAGGAAGTCCGTCTGACTGTGATTTAAGCCTGGTTTATGGACTCCAAGTATATTTATGGCAACTGCCTAAAAAACTAAAGATATAGTCTCCTTGAACAGAATAAAACAACTTCTCTATTAAATAAAGAAACAAGCAAGGCAAGAGAAGTATTGGAATTACACAATTCAGTACATGAACAATTCAAAGTGCTTTACATGAATTAGATAATGACCTAAAGGAAAAATAAAAGCAAATAAAGATAGAAAACCATGTAAAACAAATACATCCATTCAAATATAATTTTATGTGAGTTCATTTGTTAAAAGAATTAATAATTTAATGCGGTTTATTCTATCTGTCTGTATTGTCCTGACTGTTTTATTAGTGTTCTGCAATTACAATTAATTAATTGTTAATAATGAAAAGCCTGAATATTTAATTAAAAATCAAATTATAAAAAAGAACTAATGCAGTATTTTCAGCCATGCAGAAATGGAAGCTAAAGGAAATATTTAAAATTAGCTCTGCCTGCAGTTTTCAATTATCTGCTGAATAAACAAAAATTAGTAGTTATCGTTAGGTATGAAGTAAGGCTACAACTAGCGATTATTATGCAGATCGATTAATCTATTAATTATTTGTCCAATTAATCGATTAATAATCGGATAGCAAAAGGTTCCATAAAGAAAACTTTTTATGAAATTAGATTATTAAAATGTTTCCACTTGAATGGCTCTGGATAGAAAATATTAACTAGCAATGTTTAAATTTTGATATAATTCATGCTCTAAGTGGGTCGCTCCGTCAGCTAAAGGCATATTTTACAGTGTCTATACTCCAGTTAAGGATTAATCGATAACTAAATTTGTTGACGATTATTTTAATTATCGATTAATCCGATTGTTTCAGCCCTAGTATGAAGCTGTGCATAAATGGTTTAAAATTTGCTCCGAAATGATGGGAGGCGAGACTCAAAAGAAGAAATGGTTTGGAAACAACCCTGGCCTGTTTTGGTCAATGCAAACTAATTAATTAATCTATGGAGGACCAACTCTGCCATATTTAAAATTAAATACAGAAATAAATAAATGCTCAGTAAATAAATAAGCATCCGATTAATTGCCCCCAAAAATAAAATAAACAAATAAATGTAGGTAGAAATTAAACTATACAGTGAGACAAAAATGTATATATCTCTTTTAAATAGCTTCTTTATTTATTTGCCTTTTTAATAATTACCTTATTTATTTATTGTCCATTATGTTCTTCAACATTATTTATTTTTAAGTATTTATTTATGTGCATGTGATAATATTTTGTCTGATTTATTCTTCCTTTGTTTATTTTTTACCCTATTTATTTCTTCGACGTTATCCTTCACACACGGTTTTGTCGAGAGAGGGCCGCCGCAGACGGGCTAACGTTAGCCTTGGAGATCCGCTGGTTGCCGCGGTCCTCTCAACTTCTGAACATTTTATTAAAATTACGCATTAAATCAGTAAATTGACCATATAATGAGGCTTTAAGGTATAATATTCTCGGCTCAAATGATCTTAGAACATACTTTTATTGAACAACAGCAACAGAAAAGAGAACTTTT